CTAAAAACATGCTGTGGTCAATCTGCCACTAGCAGGCACTGCTACTCAGACAAGGTATCACACACTAATCAATCTGCCCACCAGGGGTGCAATCCTTTCTCTCTGGTTGTTACTCCCTTCCTGTGTTTCTGCAATCACGTTGTTGGTTAGAAAACCCACACCTACTGAGCCCCTTTCCAGGCTGAGCATTGCCATCTGATTTTGCCCAAGGCTTCTCCACACACACACACACACACCCACTGTGGAGGCTGCTTATAACTGAGCTGGCATTCAGAGGAAGCACAGGTAGCCTTTCCTTCATTTCAGGAGGAAGAAGGGCTGGCATCCCCTAGACAGACTTCCAGGAGATTTCTCTTTTTAGTTTCAGAGGCTCAGTGTATCTGTGGTGGCTGGAAAAGCAATCTTCACTAGGTGACCCACGTCCTGGGCTCCATTGTAGGTAGCCTTCTGTAGGAGTTCCTATCAGTCAAGCAGCCAACAGTTACAGATGGGGAAGAGGCTGTCATGCTCCAAACAGACACCCAGGGAAGTCTGCATTGCTGCTATCAGAGCCCTACCCTGCTTTAGTATGTTGGCTATGCTTATACCAAAAACCAAAACCAAACTCACTGCCTTTGAGTTGATTCCAACTCATAGCAACCCCCTTTCAGATTCTGAGGTGGTAAATCTTTATGGAAGTAGATTGCCTAGTTTTCCTTCTAAGGAGTAGCTGGTGGGTTTGAACTGTCAACCTTCTAGTTATCAGTCAAATGCCTTAGGCACTATGCCTCCAGGGCTGGGCTTATAGTCTCCACTAAATATGCCTGATTCATAGCACACAGCAGCTTTACCCATCAGTTCTCAGCACTGACTGGAAGAGGGAGCAGACAGGCCTGAACTGACCCCTAGGCAGTTTGTCCTGTTGGTTACAGAGGCCTGAGCTATGGGGTGTACAGAGGTGCAGGTAAAGTAGACTCCACTGCAGGGTGGCTTCGGTAGCAATTTGCAACAACCTTGCAGCTACTCAATGCCTGAATAAGAGAAGGGATGTCATATTCCCATTGGACCTTTACGGAAGTCTGCCTTGTTGCTATCAGTGCTCCCTGTGAGTGCAGCATCCACTTAATATGCTTGTCTCCTAGCACATAGCAGTCAGTAGTCCTCAGTGCTGACTGAAAGAGGGGACAACTCAACGCAATGCACTGCCATTGAGTTGGATCTGACTCATAGCAACCCCTCCTTGGGTTTCCGAGGCAGTATCACTATGGAAGTAGATTGGCCAACCTTCCTTCCGAGGAGTGGCTGGTGGGTTTGAACCGCCAGCCTTCTGGTTAGCAGTTAAATACCTTAGGCACTATGCCACCAGAGCTCCCGAAGAGGGGACAGACAATCCCAAATTCACCTCAGGGAGGTCTGTCCTGTTAGTTTTGAAGGCCTGAGCTACTAGGTGTGCAGGAATTCAGGTAAGTGCTGCCAAGGGAAGCAGACTCTACTGCAGGGGCCTTCAGAAATTTTCAGCAGCTTGGTAACCAACCCCATCGCAGTCTGTCTTGTTGCTATGAGAGCCTCCCTGGTAGACTGTTGCTATGAGTGCAGCCTCCACTCAATACCTGTATCCTAGTACACAGCAGCCTTAGTCAGCAGTCCTAAGGGTCAACCAGAAGTGGGGGAAGACTAACTGAAAATGACCCTCAGTGAGGTCTGTCCTATTAGTCCTGGAGACCTGAACAATGGGTGTACAAGGAGGCAGGTAGAATGTTCAGTATAGGAGCAGACTCCACTGTAGGGTACCTTCTGCAGGGCAATTTGCAGCAACCTTGCAATTTGCAGCTGAAAGTAACCAGGTGGGAGAAGTGCTGGAAGAATCTGAATGGACACCTTGGGGAGGTCTGCCTTACTCATTTTAGAGCAGAAGCTTGGAGACCTGTCTCTTTGTGCAGGCAGGAGGTGTAGTAATTAGGGAAGCAGGGCAGTTTTTGCTGGGGCCACTTCCCCAGTTCACAGCAGGTGGTAGCCATGTGGCTGGGGGAGAAGCAGGGATGATGGGAGAAGCAATTTTCTTACAGCATGCAACTCGTTGATTCTTGTCTGTCTGTAGTTCTCTGCTGCTGTCCTCTGCTCCCCAATTCAGAGTCCCTTGAGGCCAAGCAACAATTCCTTGTTGAATTTCTTCTTATATTTGTGGGGGAGGGTCAGAACAACAGTCTATTTATGCCATCCATCCTCCCAGAATTCTTCTAGAAGTAATTTCTTAACATAAACTCGATTTTAATTAATAGAAGTTATTTATTCATAAAAATTAATGAAAAAGCTTAATATGGTAAATGCATGAGAAGTAATTTTCTGTCTGTTTTTTGTAAGGAGCATCATTGTTCAGGTATACTATTCTTCCCAGGATAACATAGCCAACACCTAAGCACAGGAAAGTTCCTTAAAGGACATCTAGGGAAAACTCCTATTCAGTTTGCAGGAATTTCTGCTATAGCATTTATAACAAGTAGCTTTTCAGAATTTGCTTGAGTATCTTCAATGATTGGGAGGTAGGAGGTTACCACCCATGGTCTAACTGGTGCATTGTGATTGCAAAAAAGTTCTTCCTGTTGGTGAGTAGCAATCTATATTCTTAAAATTTCAACCTACTGATTATAGTTATAGCATCCATGAGAAACCCAAATTCCAATCCTTCCGTTTCCTAGTTGGAAGTAACTGAGAACAGTATGGCATGCTATATTAGTTTCCTAGTGCTGCCATAACAGAATACCACAAACTGGTGGCTTATAAGAACAGAAATTTATTGTCTCACATTTCTGGAGGCTAGAAATCCAAATAAATGTGTCAGCTGGGCCATGGTCTCTCTGAATTCTCTTGGGGAGCATCCTTTCTTGTCTCACCTAGGTTTTGATAGCTCCCAAGTGCTTCTAGGCTTACAGATATATCTTCACATGGCCATTCTTCCTTTGTCTCTCTTCTCTTCTTTTACATAGACACCACTCAGATTAGATTAGGGTCCAGAATATTTCTGAATAACTTCATATTAAGTAATAAAATCTTCCAAGACCCTATTTCCAGGTCACATTCACAGGTACCAGAGTTAAGGCTTCCATAAATATATCTTTTTAGAGGACACAATTCAACTCATAGCACAAGTCCTATCACTTTGTGACTGGGTGAGGGGTGACAGAGCAATGGAAAAGAAGATGGAAGAAAGAACCAATATAAGCATTTATGGTTTACAAGGATATTTTATATCAGGATCACTGACAAACAGATATAAATCTGAGACTGTGAAAGAAAAAGTGTGTGTACATATATATGTAAGTATGCATAGAACTATGTATGTTTGTGTATATACATAAGTGTGCCTGAGTATGTGTGTGTGTGTGTGAATATGTGAATGTATATATGTATGTGTATAAAATGCTAAGTCAACTAATAGAAAAAAATGTACATTCAACAAGGAAATTAAAATATGGGTTTTTAGGATATTATTTTTAGAAATAAAACTGCTAAGCACTGCAGAAATTGTTAACAAACTAGAGAAAAAGAAGGGAATTCAGTAAGCTATGTTTATATTATGGTAAAAGTATGATTATTTCTAAATATCTGAACCTTTAAATGTTAAACTTATTATCTAGACATTTGTTATCAAGTAAATGAAAATTAATCAGTAAATGAAAATTAACCAATAGATCACACTACCAAGTCCCTCTCAGCAACACTACACCTTCTTGGGTTTGGCTCAGGATGTATCCTGTCAGCTCTCTCTCTACTCTGCCTGTATCTAGGCCTAGGCTTCAGAGAATTAAAAAGTAGTAACTCCTCACAAGAAGTCTGGGTTGCCTTAAGGTGAACACAGCCCCATGGCAGAATGCTCAATTATTAAAGAGAAGCTAAAATAAGTTCATCAGACTTTGAGGCAAGAAGAATAAATACATACAGAAAAAGTGTTTCACAAATACAGAAACAAAAGGAAAAAAGGTTTTGGGTAAATTTTGCCAGGATATCCAGCTAATACACCCTAGTCTATTAATGGAGTTCTGGTAGCACAGTGCCCAAGGCATCTGACTGCTAACCAGAAGGTCGGTGGTTCAAATCCACCAGCCACTCCACAGAAGCAAGACTGGGCAATCTACTTACATAAAGATTTACCGCCTTGGAAACCCAATGGGGGTCGCTACGAGTCGGAATTGACTCGACGGCAGTGGGTTTGGTTTGGTTTTCAGTCTATTAATTGTGAATTAATCAAAATTTTACTAACCTCTATTCATCAAAAAAGGAGCTCTGGTAGCATAGTGCCTAAGGCACTTGACTGCTAACCAGAAGGCTGGCGGTTCAAACCCACCAGCCACTCCTCAGAAGGAAGGCTGGGCAATCCTACTTCCGTAGTGATACTGCCTCGGAAACCCAAGGAGGGGTCGCTATGAGTCGGGGCCAACTCGACGGCACATGACAACAACAACAACATTCATCAAAAAAGGACAAAATTGTATTCATATCTAATAAGGTAAAAATATAAACCTATTTAAAGAATTTTAGTCACAATAAACTTGGAAACAAATAACTAGATATTGTAATAGGTCTTTGTAGGCAATAATGTAAGGCGATTCTAGGTTGTATGGCCTGTTAAAATACAATAATTTAAATCATAAGCCAGTAACATTGAATAAGGACTCAATTACCTAAATCTAGGCAAATCATTACATAAACATTCTGTATCAAAGCTGGCAAACTACAGCTCATGGGTCAAATCTGGCATGCTCCTTGTTTTTGTAAACAGTTTGTTTTTGTAAAGCACAGCCACATTCATGCATTTATTATCTATGGCTGCTTTCACACAGGAACATGAGAGTTGACTGGTTATGACAGAGACAATGTGGCCCACAAAGCCTAAAGTATTTAGGCTATCTGTTCCTTTACACAGAGAGTTTGCAGATCCCTGCTCTACAAGATCACTGACTGTAAAATAAACATGTAGGTCATAGCTGAATCATGACAGCCTACAAGGCAGGAAAGAACCTTACTTGCTTTATAATTCAGGTCCTTTGTTACACTAATAACAAATACAAAAGTCAAAGTCACAAAAAAGTCCAAGTGTTGTGGGGATATTTTACACTTTGAAAAAAGTGCAACAATTGTTCTTCCTAATTGTTTTGCTGGTTCAGCCTACCTGTTTTTCCTCCTCTTCAAATGAAGTGTTATTGACACCGTGGACGTTCCTACTGGGTGGGAAACCTTTCAACTTCTCTTGAATAGACCAATTGCTCTTATTTTGATCCACTGAGCTTTCCTCATCACTTCCTGGGTTATTCTTCCATTCCTTCATCATTTCTAACACATTGATTGGTCTTGCCGAAGAAAGTGTATTGCCCTATTATTAACAAATGAATTTTTGGGTTAAAAACAGTTTGTATAATTGATAAGATTCTTAAATCTTTTAGTAATATATTCCCCAAGATTTAGTAATTGTCACATGGAAAAATTAAAATGCTGGAAAAATAGTAAAACTTCTGATGCCCTTTGGACACACTCCCCGTACCAACATGTCTCATAACTCTTGAATACTATCACTACAATATGCCAAAGTTTGAGAAGAATGAAAACATACAGGCTTGAAAGAGCAATGTAGCATTCTTGTGCAAAAGATACAATACAGGGCAATTCCCTGCCACCCAAGAGCATAACCCCTTTCAAATGCTATTCTTAGAAAGCTGATAGGTCAAAAGAATGCAAGAAGTTGCCCAAAGTCTAATGGGTTCAACACTAAGGGAAGTCTATGTAACATCAAAATGTCTAGGTAAAAATCTGAATTTAGTCGATCAGACAAGCTCTGTGTCGAAGAACACAGATGTCTGATTTGCTGACTGGAAGATTTATTAGATATAATGTGGTTATCTGATTATAGCTGTTTCAGTGAACTGTTCTTACTCCAGATATGACTGCTGTTGTTAGGTGCCGTCGAGTCATCTCCAACTCATAGCAACCCCATGTACAACAGAATGAAAGACTGCCTGGTCCTGTGCCAGCCTCACAATCCTTGCTATACCTGAGCCCATCACTGTAGCTACTGCATCAATCCATCTTGTTGAGTGCCTTCCTCTTTTTTCGTTAACCCTCCACTTTACCAATTCTCCAGGGAATGATCCCTTCTGACTACATGATCAAAGTAGGTGAGCGGAAGTCTGGCCATTCTCTCTTCCAAGGAGCATTCCGGCTGCACTTCTTGCAGGACAGATTTGTTACTTCTTCTGGCAGTTCATGGTACTTTCAGCATTCTTCACCAACATGACTAGACCATGCCAAAATGGCTGCTTTATATTAACTATATTTTCCCCAAGTCTATCGCTCCACTTAATATGCTAAGAAATATATGAATGTAGGCTCAAATGCTTCCTGCTAGACTTGTTAGTGTGTGCTGTTGAGTCAATTCTGACCCATAGCAATCGCTTGTGACAGAGTAGAAGTGACCCACAGGGTTTCCTAGGCTGTGATCTTTACTGGAGCAGATCTTCAAACCTTCCTCCTATGAACCTGCCAAGTGGGTTCTAACCTTTCAGTTAGCAGTGGAGCACTTAACCACTGTGCCACCTAGGATCCTTCTTGCCTTAACTATTTTTGCTCCTAACTCAGACTATTAGAAAAACTTTGGACAAGAAGTTTAGAACACATTTAGATTCAAACGGAACATTAAGGTGTGGGCACAGTTATGGAGTGATTATAAATTAATTTGGCATGTGGGTGGATTGAAGTGGTAATCATCAGTGACACAGAAAACTATGAGACAGGACACTTTAGCCAACTGAGCACACTATTAAGGATTTTTTTGAGTTTGATATATTTGTGGTTAAGGACATAAAACTAAGTATGGAATGGTGATAACTAAGTGAGGAAAGTCTTACCACATTTCATAGTATTCTACCTGTAGCTTACTCTGGTTGCACCCGTCCATCCTCTACTCACTTACACTACTAGAATGCCCTTTCCATGCCTGTCAACCCATAGACTCTATTTCCAAGGGCCATGTTGAGTCATCTCTGCTAGGTATTCCATGATTCTCTAAGACAGAGGCTCAAAGACAGCAACCACCAAAAAGTTGAAATCCTCTAAAATTCTGTAAAATTATCTGGCCCTGGTATTTTTCTTAAGGAAGATTTTAACTACTGCTTCAATTGCTTTAGTAATTATAAGGTAATTCAATATTTCTATTTATACTGGAGATAGTTTTATGAAATTATATTTCTTTTAGGAAAAGACATTATGTCCATTTTGACTAAGTTTTCAAATTTGTTAGTATACAGTTGGTAGCATTCTCTTATCTTTTTAATTTCTTATCTATGTAATAGTTGCCTTATCTGCAATTTACTCCCTTTTTCATATGTAATATTTATTTCTGTTTTCTGTCTCTTTCTTGATTAATTTTGCCAAACATTTATCTGTTTTGTTAGTCTTTTCAAAGAACTAAATGTTTGTCTTATCAAGCTTCTCTATTTCACTGATTTTTATTCTTAGTTTTATCTTTCCTACTACTTTACTTGCTTGTGATAATAATGCTATTGTTTGATAATTTCCACATTCTATTGGATCCCCTTTCTTTGGATTGGGCACAAATATGGATCTCTTCCAGTCAGTTACCCAGGCATAAATGAGTCAGCTCCTCCAGTGCTGCATCCATTTTGGAAAAATCTCAGGGTATTCCATCAATTCCTGAAGCCTTGCTTTTCACCAATTCCTTCAGTCTAATTTCTTCCTACAATACTATCAGTTCTTGATCACATGCTACCCCTTGAAATGACTGAACATTGACCAATTGTTTTTTTGGTTCAGTGACTCTGTGAGGTCCTTCCATCTTTGTTTAATGCTCCCAGCATCATTCAATATTTTGCCCATAGAATCCTTCAATATTGCAACTCAAAGCTTGATTTTTTTCTTAGTTTTTTAAGCTTGAGAAATGCCAAGAGTGTTCTTTCCTTTTGATTTTCTAACTCCAGGCCAGGTCTTTGCATATTTCTTTATAATACTTTGTCTTCTTGAGCTGCCCTTTGAACTCTTCTGTTCAGTTCTTTTATTTCAGCATTTCTTGCATTTGCTTTTAGCAAGTTTCAGAGTCTCTTCTGACACTCATTTTGGCCTTTTCTTCCTTTCCTGTCTTTTTAATGACCTTTGCTTTCTTCATGTATGATGTTCTTGATGTTATCCCACAACTCATCTGGTCTTCGGTCACTGGTGTTCAATGCATCAGATCAATTTTTCAGATGATCTCTATGTTCAAGTGTTATATAATCAAGGTCATATTTTTGCTCTGGTGGACTCTTTTTAATTTTCTTCAGCTTCAGTTTGAACTTGCATATAAACAACTGATGGTCTGTTCCACAGTCAGCTCCTGGTCTTATTCTTACTGATGATTCTAAGCTTCTCAACATCACCTCTTTCCACAAATGTGGTTGATTTAATTCCTGTGTATTCCATTTGGTGAGGTACATGTGTATAGCAGCCATTTACATGGCTGGAAATAAGATATTTGCAATGAATATGTCATTGGTCTTCCAAAATTCTACCAGGTGGTCTCCAGCATCATTTCTTTCACCCATATTTTCCAACTACCAATGATTCTTCTATTTCCAACTTTTACATTCCAATCACCAGTAATTATCAAAACATCTTGATTGCATGTTTGGTCAATTTCAGACTGTGGAAATTGGTTGAAATCTTTAATTTCTTCATTTTTGGCTTTAGTGGTTGGTGTGCAAATTTTAATAATAGTATTAACTCATCTTCCTTGTAATCCTATCACTGACAGCATTGTACTTCAGGAACAAAACTTGAAATGTTCTTTCTGAGATGAATGCACTGCCCTTCCAGGCAAAGGAGATCATATGATTGTCTGATCCAAAATGCTTAATAGCAGTCCATTACACCTCACTAATGCCTAGGCTATTGATCTTTATGCATTCTGTTTCATTTTTGACAACTGCCCATTTTCCTAGATTCATACTCTGTACATTCCATCTTCCGATTATTAATGGACTTTGCAGTCTGTTTCTTCTCATTTTGAGTCAGGTCACAACAGCAAAAAAAAAAAGGTCCCAAAAGCTTTACTCCATCCCATCATTAAGGCCGACTGTACTTTGAGGAGGCAACTCTTCTTCAGTTCTATTTTGAGTGTCTTCCAACTCGTAGGGCTCAACTTCCAGCACTGTATCAGACAGTGTTTCACTGCTATTCATGATTCTCAGTGGTCAGTTTTTTCAGAAGTAGATGGTCCTGTCCTTCCTATTCTGTCTTAGACTGGAAGCTCCACAGAAACCTGCCCACCACGGGTGACCCTGACGGTATTAGAAATGCTGGTGGCATAGCTTCCGGTATCACAATAACAGGCAAGCCATCACAGTACAATAAGCTGACAGATGAGTTGTGGATCTTGTTATTATTGACAATTAATTTAATTGTGTATTGTTAGAGAACCTGATCTGTGTAAAATTTGTTGAGGCTTGCTTCATGGCCTAGTACAGTATTAATTTTGGTAAATGTTCTACACGTGCTTGAGAAAAATGTGAATTCTCTACTTGTTGAATTCAGAATTATATCTATAAGGTTAAGCTTGTTAATTGTGTTGTTCAAATTTTCTATATCCTTGTTTTTGTCTGTTTGAGAAAAGTGTACTAAAATCTCCCACTATGATAGTGGATTTGCCAGTTTCTCCCTGTAATTTTGTCAATTTTTTATATTTATTTTTAGGTTCTTCTATTAGTTTCATACATGTTTAAAACTATTACATAATCTTTTTTAGTTGAATCTTTTATCATTATAAAGTGACCTTCTTTATTCCTAAGATTTGTTTTCCATAAGGTATATTTAAATGATTTTTTTTTTTTTTAGTTTGTCTAGTATGTCTTTTCCATTCTTTTCCTTTCACCATTTATGTACCCCTAAGCTTCAAATGTGCTTCATGTAAACCACTGGAGGTAGGCAGATTTTTAAAAATTCAAACTGGAAATCTGTCTCTTAATAGAAAATTAATCCATTTACTTATACTGTAATTATTTCTATATTAGGATTTGTTTCTACCATCTAGGTCTATTATTTCAATTTGTCCCACCGTTGGTATGTTTCTTTTTAATCCTTTACTACTTTAAAAAACCTGACATCTATATCTTCCACTTTAGTATACTACTATCTTGATAGTATCTCAAATTTTAATTCTGGGTTATTATGAATATATTTTCTCTTTTTCTTTCTTCCATTGTCTTTTTTTAAAAAAGGCACCAGCAAACTTTACATAAGTGTGTAAAGACCTTCATTTCACCTATCTCTTACAACATTTACTAGACTTGTTTTTCCTCTTAAGTAACCCACAAGAGTTTTAAAAGCAGT